CATGTCCACGGGAAGAGAGTCTACTGAAATTGAGAAGTGGGCTTTTGGGCCTCATTAGATGGCTTAGTATTTATACGACCCAGCTTATCTTCACTTGCCCGGCCCACTATCCGGCCCAATCAATTCACCCCTTGATTAAAAAATTTTAAAATAATAAAATTCTTATAAATACATTAATTCATATATTACTTTATATTTTGCTAGAAAATAGTAATACATAAATTAATTTTTACATAAATATAATAAAATTTGAAATATATTAGTGTTACTTTACGTGTAATTTTATATTTACAAATGGAATTTTTATTATTTTAGTTAAATTTTTTTTTTACTTTCTAATTAAAATAAATTTAAATTTATAAGTGAATTTCGATTAATTTTTAGATTTGTTACAAACATGGCCTACGGAATTAAAATTGAAATTGTTTTTTTTTTTTAAAGTACGTATGATATATATATATATAAATTTATTCAAAAAAAATTCTATTTACAATGAAAAAAAATATATATATATATATATATAATATGTGTATGTGTAGACATTGGCGGTTTTCTTCATACGTATGTATATGTTCATCGCTAAGTTGCTGACATGGGACGTACATACATATGACATACTGGGTGATTGGTTATAATAGACAATGCCAGTTGTGCATGGTGGACTAAGGAGTAGGATCAAGTATAATTAGGGCTGGGAGGCAAGATCAGATTAGCGCGCAGTTGAGCGATGTGGGACTCCATAATAAATATGACCTCACCGACTCTTTAATTTCTAACAAAAACTTTGAAATATTCCACACCATTTTCATACTCTAACGAAACAGCTTTTCTCGCCTGGTTACCATTTTTCTCTTCTTTCACTTATCACTCATTAATTAAGTAACGTGGTTGATGGATATGATGTCAATAATATTAATTAATTACACACACTATCTATACGTACGCACCCATGTTTGGTATTCAGAGAAGAATCTTTTTCACGTTACTAAGTGTTTAAAGGAAACAGAAAAGAAACTCACATCTGCTTCAATTAATGCTTTGTTAGTGTCTACAGTGTACGTTTGTGATATAAAAAGGGGATGAGTGTTAGTGGGTTATGAGCAAAGGATCTTATTATTCATTCTTTCTCTGATCCCATCTTCTTCTGATATTTACTTCATTTTCTTCGGAAAGATGGGTGGGTGTCATGTGAGATGTGTTTCAATGGTGGTAGCTGTTATGTTTGTGTTAGTGATAGGAGTAGTGGAGTGCAGGAAGCTCGAGAAGGATACTGTGTTTGAAGGTATTGGAGGTGGTTTTGGTGGCGGTGCAGGAGGGGGAGGAGGGCTTGGTGTTGGGTTGGGGCTGGTGGTGGCTTTGCGGGGGGTAAATGTGGAGGGTTATTTTGTCCTTCTGTAAGAACCAATTCAGGGTTCATACAGTCCGATG